TGGGAACAGCTTCGTAGGAGTGAACCAGAACAGTCGTACCAGAGAGTACAGTGTAATTTAGGAGGCAATGCAGCATGTTAGGAGGTGTGGATGTAAAATCACTTCATGGGTAAACAAAAGACTATTCACACTGAGCTGCTTGATGGGAGAAAACTACTAGCTTCCTTTATGATTGCTTTTGAAGAGACTGATGTATGAAGTATTCAAAGGTATTTAAGCAAAGGAGGGACACATGCTGAATGCTCTCTGCAGAAAAGTTCAGGTGCTGTAGAATGATAAAGGTTTTGGAGTCTGCTGACGAAGATGAAAGTGAGCAGAAAACTTATGAATATCTAATTTTGGGCCAAGAGACTTCTAAAAAAAGCTAAGCACATAAATCTTTTTTCAAACATAGACTTCTTGTGAAGAAAAGGTATCACTATAGGATATAATCAGATTTTGCAAAGGTTTTAGAGTTTACTTCTGGTATGTGGTACAGAATTTAAGCCAGAGAAAACTCCAAAAAGATTACATTTTTTAATGTAAAAATAAATGAGACCAAAAGCTGCTCTACAACCAGAAATACTTGTGGAGATTGAACGTTCTTTGACACATTATGTAACACATAGGAGCAAAACATTCAGTTGCTTCCAAGACTCTAAACAGTATGAAAATAGAGTTACTTTTTAAAAAGATGAAGAGATATTTTTTATTAATTTGTAAAGTTTTATCCATCTGAGTACTTGTATATGGAAGTGCTTTATTCAAAGTAGAACTGGGTCACTTTATCTTTTGTTTCAAAATAAATGCCCTTTAATTTTTTTCTGTGAAGGATATAAGGGTAGGATAAGAGGAAGATGAAAAATTGACACCAACTCTTTGAAATGTAAATTCCCTAATAAAAGATTATCAGTGATAACTGTTGATTTGTAGTGTGTAATAGTGCATCATAGAGATGGTTTTTGCAATGCTGATGCACACAAGCCTCTAAAATAGGTTTTTATGTCTATAGGATGTGCAACAAATTTTGCCATCCCTTCACTTTTCTAGTATTTGAGTGCTTGCAAAAATTGGCAATTTATTCAGTATGAAAAATTAATGACTTTGAAAGAATATGTAGGTGATAGAGAGGCACGGCTTCTGCAGTAAAGAGTAAAAAAACCTAACATTGTTCTCTGGACTTTGATTTGTAAACATTCTAAGCAGTAAAACTAGCTTTCTAAAGTTCCTCTAAATTTTTGGAGATTTCAGATTATGCTAGCACTTTGGGATTTCAGATAAAAATTAAAGTGGATTAAGTTGGAAATTAAGAAAGAAATGGCTTGTTAGAACATTTCTTCTTTTCAGATGAATGTCAGTCTTTGTAAAAACACCGTTGTTCATATAAAATGTTACCAGTATGACCTGTCTTTGTTATTAAAGTGTCTTATAATGATAGCAAGAGATGAAATCGTAATAACAAAAAGTCAATATTGATTTCCAAGTTATTGAAAATTTTAGATGTTTGTCATTTTATTTATATGCGTTGTTTAGTCACACAGAGTTACTTGTTTTTGGGATTATGTGCATTTTTGGTGTTTGCCTAGACAATTTTTATATATTCTTCCAACTATCCCAGTGCCATTCTCCAACTGTGCTACGACAAAATCAGATCTGGGTGAGACTGAGCAATAACATCACATTCTGCACAACTTGGTGCAGGCTGGAGGATTGATGGGAGAAGTGGGGGTCCCTGTGGACCACCCAGGACCATTCCACTGCCCCAGCCAGGGTGCACAGGTATCCTGATGTTTCACAAACCTTCTGTGCAGCCAGCGACTTGTCACTAACCCCCTCTGGACCTCACAATAACTCTGATGGAGAGCCCCAGCTCATTCACGTTGAAGTCAGCACACAGGTGATGTCCCTTTCTCTCATCCACATCAGCCCTTGCAGTCTGCTTCAGAGGAGTTTTATCTCAGAAATATATACAAGCAGCAAGAGAGGAACCTTTCAATAACCCAAGGAGCAAGTGTAAACTGAGTTGTCCTCCCAAGCTTCTGGGATTGCACCCTTTATGTGCCTTCAGAGTGGTCAGCAAGCAGGAGGTTTGCAACACTTGAGAGTCAGCGTGCCTGGGCTTTCCAGAGGCACTGAAACTGACACTAGTTTTCATATTTAACACCTTTGGAAAGAGGGAGAGAAGAGCCTACATATGATAGACAGGCCCCAGATAGTTCATTTTGTCACATCTAGTGGCAGTAATAGCAGAAAGAGAAATAGCTTGATTTGGGCACACTGTGACAGTAATAAAGTGAGAGAGGAGGTCACAGCAGAATCACCTGCACAGCAGGCTTCCAAATCATGCTCTTGGACCAGATACTGTGAAGTGAAGCTCTCTCAGAGCTGGATCCCTGCCTTACATGGACATGCTACAGTGTGGGAAGGGGACTAGATGGGATGATATGGGGACTGAGAAGGAAAATAAAGTGGACAGAGAATAACTACTTTTTCTTGTGATAGTAGAGCTGATTTGGTCCACGACAGACATGGAATTCTTAGTGACAGAAAATTGCACAGAAATAACCTCTTCTGCTATTTCTATTGATCTGCTAAAACAACCACTCTAAATCCATATTATTGAGAAAATCTACAACTTCAAAATTTCTCAAATCTGCTGTGGTCCAGAAGCACAACAGATATTAGGCACATGGTGAGCATTTACAGCAGCACCCTCCTAAAAATCCTTATTTTCTTACCCAAACTACTGTATTGTGTATTTCTAGTGCTGAATTCTCTAGTTTGAACCTGTAGGAAGCAGATTAAACAGATTTGTTTCCACCCTAAAGTGAAGGAAATTCTGGTACGCATTGTGTGTTTACCTCAAAGTTCCTTTGATCAAAAGAATATAAGTAACCAAGTGCTTAACACTTAAGAGAGTCCTCTTCTGTCTCCTGCTTAGAGGAAGGTGCTACTGCTGGTCAGTGGTTACAGAAAACAAGATGGAATAGTGCAGAAACTACCCAATCTTCTACATATCACCCACAGTAAACAAAAAACGCAGAAAAAATTAAAAAAAAAAATAGCACACCAAAAAAAAAAAATCATGCCAAAATTAAGAATTTTTGAATAGGTGCTACATATACCTGACACTTCACATAACTTCAAATGACTGGGAAAAGTGCTAAAACTTAAACAAACATTTCTAAGACAACTTGTGACTAAATGTTGATTCTGTATTTTTTTATAAAGACTGATTGGCTTGCACCCACACTGAATTGAACATTGAATGAATGAGTCCATGAAAGTTTCAAGATGGAGAGTTTAGTGTATATTAATTAAAGAAAGGAAGTATTTTTCCTATTTGTATGTCACTATGTCACTTCTTCAATCTCCTAAAACTCTCTCCATATTCTTAAGACTGTCTTCCCATATATGTAAGTAAATTATGGACTATACCACAAAGGTTTTCTTAATTAGAAAGAAAAGCCTAGAATTTCTATTATTCCTATTTAATGAATTATAAAGGCTATTCTGCAATACAAAGAATAAATAAACCAATTTTGGTTAAACAAATTTTACCTGATTTTTTTTCTTTGCCTTCTTCTACTATGACATGATGGATGCTTTCACAGAATTTACTGTAACAGAAATTTGGTTTTATTTTCTGTAAGCTCACCTAGCTTTGCTCTACTCACTCAGGCAAAATATTATTGTAACTGAAGGTTTTGATGATCTCTTTCCCACAGGGCAAATCTTGCCTCACTTTTGATACCTAGAGGACATCCATTTAGGAGTGACATAAAAGAGGTAGACCTGTTTGGTCAGGTCCAGAGGAAGTCCATTAAAATGATCAGAGGGTGAAACTGCCTTGCAAGGCTGAGAGTGTTGGAGTTGTTCACCCTAGACAAGACAAGGCTCTGGGGAGACCTTGTGTTTCTGCCTTTCAGTATGTAAAGAGGACTTAAATGAAAGGTGAAAAGAAACCTTCTACGGAGATCTGTAGAGACAGGACAACAAGCAATGATTTCAGCTGAAAGAGAGTAGATTGAGATTGGATACATGGATATATGTTTTATTATGAGAATGCTTAGGCACTGAAACAGAATGCGCAGAGAGCAATGTGTGGATGCCCCATCCCTGGAAATGTTCAAGGCCAGGTTGGACAGGCTGTGGAGCAACCTAGTCAAGTGGTAGGTGTTCCTGCCTATGCTTATGTTAGGTGTTCCCCCGGTCTCCTGGGGCAGAATGTTTGGATGAGATGATCTTCCAAGCCAAACTGTCCTGTGATTCTATAACTTTCGGATAGACTTAAATCATATAATAGGATATGATTTTCCTAGAGAGACCACTTTGCATGAGGAGTCAAAGAGGTAAGAGCTAGGTCTGTGTATCTCATTTCTCATTCTTTTGCTCTGCAGCCCATACCTCCTATCCCCTGATGCTTCCAGTCCTCTTGTGTGTCATCCAAAGACCTTTAATTCTAAGGCTGTCTCAGATGTTAATTCTTCTCTGCAATCCTGTCTTTTTACTGATGTTTCATCCCAGCCCTTAGTTCACTGCCTTTTCCTGGTAACCTTGACCACATGCCATACTTCTCCCCTGATCCATTAAATATCTGTCCCACAAAATGCTCAATTCAGATAAACAGCTTGGGACATGATAAATATTGTGCAGTTCAGCCTCTATGAATATATACACTGCTTATATGCTCAAAGTGAGCATACATTTCTGGGTTTGGCAGCCACAGTCAGTTCCATAAAGACTTATACCCATCTTTCATGGAAACTACAACAGCTCAGAGGAGTTCTTTCACATTTAAGTAAACCTAATCTGAAACTCTGAGCTGGTTTTAAAGCTACTTCATTAGCCGTTCTGCTCCCTACAGATTTGTAGCTAAGAACAATGTCAAACCAGCTACCTAAGGAGGCTGGATATTACAGCTTGTCATCCTCGCTAAAACGCTTTCAGGTGCCTTGAAATTTGCAGCCCAGCATGAAGCCAAGACAAACCCTTTTCTCTTTTTTTGTAAATACTCTAAATGCGCTAAGTCTACATTAAACCTTCTCATTTCCTAGGTGATTATTTTTCCCTGCTTTAAATGATTTTTTTTTGTCATTTATTTAAAACAGGATGCCAAATAACTAACCTAAAGTAGGTATTAGACAGTTAATCTGCAGCAATAGTAGTTGTGGTATGAAGAAAAGTTCAGGCTTACAAGCCCTTCACTTTTCTGTTTCAGTAGCAAATTATAGCATCTTTGTTGATGGTTAAACTGCAGCAGTACTAATTGTGGTATCAAAAAGAGTTCAGAACTCATAAGCCCTTTATTTTACTGCTTCCATGGGAGATAATGGCATCTTAGCCTACTTCTAAATGACACATTAGAAAAGAAATGGCATCTTTATTCAGCATTTCTACAATAAATTAATGAATTCTCATAAAGAAATGCAACCTTAATAGGTATGTAAGTGATCATTATAGTGAAGCCAGCTTGTTAAGAATTTCCACCTAAAGGCATTTTCAACATCAGTTTTCCTCTATTAGCAAATGTTGACTTTTTAATGAGATCATTGCCACACTCTCTAGTGGTACTATTTTGGTTTGCCTCCAATTATAAACTCAATAGGTCACAACACAGCCCAAGGGGACTGCCACCCTGCCCAAAAAAAAACCAAAACAAACAAACAAAAAAAACCAAACAAACAAAAAACCAACTAAAATCAAAATGAGTAAGGTAAAACTTGCAGAAATTAATTTTATCAATAGTCCCATTAAAAATATCAAATACAAATTCAAGGCTAAGGGAGAAACCAGCAGGCACAGTTTCACAGTTCCATTTATGCTGAAAGAAATGCTAATATGAAATACCCTAGACTTACTATATTTAATCCTTGCACACCTGGGTGTTTCTCTTGCAGATATACAGTGCCATCACCTCAAAACTGCAGCACAGGAGTTCCAGTCTTAGGAACATCCCTATCAATCTTCCACATGGAGAGTGTGTTTCCGAAGAGAATTTACCAATTGCCTTCACATACATTGCCTTGGCTCATGCCAAGGGTCAGGCTCAGACTAGAATAACTATATTCCTTCTGGGTGACACTGGGAAGTTCAGTGCTTTCCACAGAATGACCTAGTGACTTCCAGCCACTAGCAGCTCTGCCTTGAAATAACTTCACCACTACCTCCGAAAAATGCCAGCGTGCCAACACCAGTACCATGGCAACAACCTTGTTAGCTTCTAAATCACACTCCTTAGGAGCACAGATTGAGCTGAGGTGTAGCATGACCACAAACAACTGCAGCTCTAATAGTGTAAGTACAGCACTGGGAATGTTTCCCTTTACCTAAGCAGTTTTTCTATTCCTCTGGGAAGTACTCAGAACTTTTAAAACCCAATTTATTAACAGAGCTTCCTCACATAAGTAATAATTCTCCTTGCAGTTACATAGTTAGCAGTAACAGTGAAAAATGGAAAGATTACAGGAAATTGTCAGTGAACAACTCAAGAGCTCTGTTTTGCATAAACCACAAGGCAAGGGGAGAGGGAGGAAGAGCAGAAATAATTGACAGTGAATATATTTAGATTGTAAATATGAAAAATATATGTAACTCAAAAAGGAGCCAGAAACTGAAAGCATCCCAGAAGTTGCTCTTATCACAATTTTTAACCAGTCAAATGTGGAGCTTGATCATGTTTTTAAAGGGATTACAGAAATAACTGTCTGTGAATGCAGCAAATTGGGCTATATGTTCCAGTAAGATTCTTTAACTCTTACTTTCTCCTAAGCTTGCCCGAGAGACATGCACTGTGGGTTATGAGGGATGCACTGTGAATATCATGAAGGAAAAGGATTTGTTCCCACCTGGATCCTTTGTTATCACTGCCTCAGTAGGTGAGAATCAGCACAGTTCTTTCTCATCACAGACTCCCTTGAGGCCTGGAAAGCAAACTTATAGATCTCCACTGTTTCTCATGTAGTTCTTTTCAACACCTGTCAATACAACAATATATGCTTATGTTAAAAGCATCTCTAGTTGTTATGGAAGATTGGTAACCAAAATCGTGTTATTTTTTTAGCACATATATACATAAGATTCCATGGTTATTACCCTTAATAAAATAAGATACTAATTTTTACATAAAAACTCTTCTATTTAATGTGGTAAGCAACACTACTGTGTATGCAGCCAGAAATGTGTTTATCTGCTGATAGCAGAGGTTTACAAAGATAGATGTAGCTGTTTGAAATTCACAATTTTTCATTCTATTCAAAGGGCTGAAAAAAGTTTCACATTTCAACTATTTCCTTATTTGAAATGCGGAGACAAGTGAGACGATCATGCTTCTTCACTCTTATTGCAGAATTAATTGTGTCCTACTCTGGAGATGGGAGTATCATTTCCCTGGGGTATGCCCAGGGCCAACGCTGTCCTGTCCAAAGTCACAAAACAAACTGATGGCATCAGAAACTTCACTGTCGTCCTCAAGTAGACAGCTTTCCACATACTTTACTTCTCTGCAGTTGATTCCTTTTTAGTTCATCCAAAACTTTCTCTGATTACTTACCTTTATCACAGGTCTTTCTTTAGCAATGTCAGGCATGCAACTTAGCTAGTTCTCCATAGGAAATAGTTCCATGTCACGTCAGGCAGGACAAGGGATACAGGTGGACCATCCTTAAGTAACAAAAAACAGAAGGCTGCAAACTTATCATCACTGGGAAAAGGTTTGACACAGCAAGACAGAGGCTCCTGAATAACATATTTTTGAGATCACCTTGTAGTTTCTGTAATCTTTGTTCTGTAAACTCTGGTCATGAAAATTATTTGTACTTGGATTCATCCTGAAGTACAAGCTCCTTTTATTTTAAATGCCTCAAAGACACCTCTCTTTCATCTTATTCTTTAAAAAAAAGTAAATTAAAAACTTGCTAGCACTATATGAATGTGATAAGAAGTAAAACTCACTTGTAGAAATGCCTGTTAGACTTCACATTTAGACACCAGGCACTTTAACAGAAACTTTCTTACTGGCAAGAAGAAATGGCTGAGAAGGGAGAAAAGATGTCTCTTCAGACTTTAGCAAATCCAACACTAACTTCTGCTAATGTCACCATCCGTTTAATTGAAGCCAGCTTACAGTCTGGGACTGTAGTCATAATTTGCACCTGGAAATAAACTGGGAGATAAGATGCAAACCAAAAATCAGTGGAAACTTTATCTTATCTCTCAGTACAAATCCAGAAAAATACCAAGCGACTTTGGGTTCAAAAATGCCCACAAATTCTGAGAAGCTCACACTCTTTAGAGTTGTCACAGAGGCAATCCTTTCTCTATCCAGAGAAAATGCCTCAATACCCACAATAACAAGAAAGTGTATATATAAACACTTTTATTTCAATTTTGACAAAAGGTATTTGAAGAACACAGTTTAATGAAGAGATAAAGCTTCCTAGTTATATTCAGATTCATCATTATTAAGGAGGTTATAAAAATCATTTCAGACTTACCTTTAATTTAACCATTCAGTTACTACTTAGATCTCCAATGGCATTCTCTCAAAGAAAACTTTTCAAGCTTAAGGACAGAGCAAGAATTTTTTCTTTCCTACTTTTCTACTAAAGAGACTTTTATGAAATAACCTCAATTATTATGTTAAATACTAGGCACAGGGTGCTGGAGTTATGGAAACTGTTGCATAGCGCTTACTGAAACCAATAGCCTGTTCATCTGACGAGTGTATAAAACTGATATTAAAAATACTCCCTACGGAGAGGCAGAGAGAAATCAGAAAATTGCTGTAGATACTGCTTTCTGAAAAGCACGTGTCAGCTGCACTAATGATTGCTTCATTTTGTCCATCATTGTGACAAAACATATTTTTATCTAGGTTTCTTTCAAAGATCACAGTATAAAATAATACAAATACTTTATAAGATCTGAGGTTTTTAAGCTGTGATAGTGGTGCCCCCTATACATGTTTAAAGTCAAAACATAAAGTCAAAAGGACTGTCAAGTACCTCAGCCATGTTTGTTACTTTTTCCTACTTTGTATTTTGCACCATATCAGATTGTTTCCCTTCCAACTGCACCTCACCTGCGCCTTGATATTAAATGCAATTTTTCAACTTTTGTGCCAAAACTGACACAACAATTCAGCCAACACACTAGATAAAAAAACACTCAGAGCCTATAGGAAAGCTTTGTCAAGGCTGAGCAAAATAAAAAGTTAGAGGAAATCGTGCTTACAGTAGAAGCAGAATTTTTTTGTAAAAATAAGATCTGGAAAATTATTACCTGACTAGGACAGAGGAAAGAAGCACATACAAGGGGTTTGAAATTCAGCTGCCAAATGTGAAAGATGGGAAACAAGAAATAAACAGAATATGATGATCACTCACTGGACAAGAAGTACAGGGAATAATTCCTCCAAAGAGAGATTTGTAGTACATTCAGTAGGTTCCAGCAAGGGCACCTGGGATTCCTTGATGTTAGCAAAAGTTTTGACACAGAGATCAGAAGGATCTGAAGTTCGATGCCTGGAGACCTGGAGTTCCTCTCAACAGTGCCTGTTTTTACAGTAATGAAATTACATTCTTAGAGCAGAGATCAGACTATTGCATTATTCTACAGCCAGCCACAGCAAGAATATCTCTGGTGAAAGTGAAATACTACTTCAGTGTATATAATACTGTATATATATACAAAGTATACTTAAGTGACAGTTTTTTACTCTTTACTCCACCATAATTTTAATTTACATCAGCCATGGCACACAATGGTCATTCATATCCAGCAATGAGCCAGTGCATCATATTTGGTGCCAGTTAGACATTTTCAAGACTGCAAAGAGCTTCAAAAACTGCATTAGGAGGAAGTTCATTAGTTTCCAGCTCACTCCTTTTCTGCTGCAAAAAGTTCTTATCTCCCCACTGAGAGAAACATTCAAGTTGTTGTAATAAGTATTGGTTTAGAAATTTTGGATGAATTTTAGCAATTTAGAGTAAATTCATAGTATTTGTATACTCCTATTGTCTCAGATTATTTTAGTTTTAAGGGTCTCTATCAAGATAAAAGGCTGTCTTACCCATGACTTACGTTCAAGCAGAAATAAGATTCCATTGTGCCTAAGACTTCTTAGAGGTTGCAAGGTTTAAAAACAGGTTATATCAGGATTAGGAGTTTGATACACTAGATGCCTGCATTAAGTACCTCAGTTTCAGACACCTCCCATGTCAGAGCAGGCAACCCATGGGGATGAGCCTATGCTGTAGCAGCTCATGAAAAGACTGAATTCCATGTGAAGAACCCATGCTTCCCATGGAGCAGGGGAATGAAGTCAGAAGGAAGCAGTGGCTCTGTTACAGACAGAGTACAACCCTCATTCCCCATCCCCTTGCACTGGGGAAAAAAGGTAGAGGAGTGAAGCTGAGCCTGGTGAAGGGGCTGGGGAAAGCTATTGTTTTAATTTTTGTCTTTGTATCCCACCATCCTACCCTAATTTTAATTGGCAATGAATTAAATAATTTACTGCAAGTTGAAAGTGTTTGGATCGAGACAGTACTTGTCTCCTGAGCTTTCCCACTCTCTTTTGTCCTCCTGGCACTGTGAGGTGGTGAGAGAGCAGCGTGGCTGTGCTCCGAGGTTAACCCACCACGGTAACCCACTGAAGGTCACGCAACAATTCACACAAGCAAAGCAAAGAACAAAAACTGTTTCTCTGGTTTCCTAGCCCAATTTATGTTACTGTCAGCCAGGTCTCCAACCTCCTTCATAGCGTCAGGAGAACACCTCAGTTCATAGAGGGTTCCACAGGAGATAGCAACACGGAGTAGCCAGGAGAGTGCTGAGGTTGTGACTAACCCCTGACTTCAAAGGAAGCATTGCATTTGCACGGTACCGCTGGGGCTTAAGAGACCTTGCAGTTATTTCAGTAAGTACTTCGGCACTAGCCAAACAAGTAACGTCTCATACATATAGCATCTGCAGAGCATGAAGGCATGTCAGTATCATATTACATTATTTTTACACTCAGATTTGTTGTCTGCAGTTTGCTGTAAACACCCAGCTGTTGTAGAAAGCAAACCTTACAAAATAGAATTGGGAAATTTTTTTTCTTTTCTATTACAATTTTCACATACCTTCTTAAACCATTGCCATCGTCTGACTTAAGATACAGAAATTTTCAATTTTTAACAGAAAGTTGAAAAACATATTCAGTCTGAATCAGAAGAGACAGAAAACTAATCACAAAACGTATTTGTATATTTACAAACAAAATGATATAGAGATATACAGATATATTTAGAGTTACTGTAATGGAATTTCACCAATATACCTACAGTAAGTATTTCTAGTGAAGAAACCCTCATACTTATACTGGATTTTGGAACTATTCCAATTTATATTCAAAATGTTGCAATCATACTAGCAGAAAACACAGCTTTTTTTTTCCTCCTCTCTAGCGGTTAGCCATGCTAATTGTGTCTGTTCTGATTCAATACATTGTCAACAACCTTGATAAAATACCCTATCACCATCTGTGTACATGGATACGCGCAGGGCTTCTAAAGGAGCTTGTGAATATCATAATGGCATGGACAGGTCTTCCAGTCTAAGGTAACTGTTTGGCTTTTTTTATCTGTAAAAGTGACACATAAGCATGAATCTACTGTGGCGCTCAGATGCAAATGGTCAACAACCACATCAATTGTCCAAATTTTTTTTACATTTATGTGCAAGCAGAGAAAAAAACAGTTCCTCTGCTAAGTGAGTTGTCAGGCACTTATTATGAATGCCACATAATTTCAGTATCTGTTGGTTTTAACACATGTTGTGCCCTACTCTTAGGGCACAAATGCTTGAACATCTTTTCAAGGTACACAGGTGCTACCAACTATCCCGTGGCAGACAAAAATACAAAAAAATACAATTTTCTATTAAAACCACACATTTATGACAAAAACCCAAAGTGATCAACTTTGGCTGTATTTCAAAGCTTTCTCAGCTCTTTACAAAAAAAAAAAAAAAACAAAACAAAAAAAACCAAACCAAAACAAAACAAAAAAAAAACCCAAAAAAACCAAAAACATGAGTTGGAATGGAAGTAACACTTGAAAAGAAAATAAAAATTTTGCACATTTTCCTTTCCCCAAATAAAACCAGCCACTTAACTTTTTAGATTGGTGCTTCTATAACAGGCACCTGCAGTGCGAGGTTATTACCAACAATGGTATGCTGTGGTCTCCTTCACACTGTGAGGAAACATCAACAGAAACTTAAAAGATATTAGAGTATTCTGTGGGTGTATACTGGGATATGCAATCAGGACATGTAATCTCTCTCACAATTTAAATATTTTAAGATGCATTCTCAGCAGATTAACAACAAATGTAATCTTAAAGCTTTGATCTTGTTAGAATCCTCAGGCTATAGAAAATCTTTGATTTTGTACTTCTATATCAGAGCTATGAATTAAAAGAGGACATAGAAAAGTGGCAACAGAATCAAAAGAAATTTACCCATGATGAGCTTGAGCTGAGTTTAAAAAAGAGATTACATAGCCAAGATCTAGATAAGAGAATAATGTTGGAGTATATGCTAATATGTTGAAAAAGGTCTAAATTAAATAGTGATGAATTTTTCACAGTAAAAGTGTAAGGAGAGCCATTAAAACTGAACCATGTAAGTAATCCAATTATACTAATGTCATCTTAATTTAATTTTGAATTTAAACCAAATAATATCAATTTCTCAAACATCTCTAGAAAAAAAAAAAAACAAACAAAAAACAAAAAGAACAGATTTTGCTCCTTTCTATTTCATTCATAGAAGTTCCTATAAGGTGAGTTTTCACCTTAATTTTCACAGGTGAAAAAGAAATGGGGTGAGGAGAAAGCTTTCAAAATTTCTGTCTTGGTTCTTTTGCATAAAATATAAATTGCATGGGATTTTCAGTCTGTCACTTGTGCTCTATCAAATTGTACAGTGAATTCAGATGTGATTCTATCTGCAAACACAGCTATAATAGAAATGCTTTCTGGTCATTATTTCAAAGTTAATCAATATCTAGTTTTGAGAGATGCTGGTGATCCAGTAAAGCTGTAGCACACTTGTTTTATTTGCATTGAAAAGCACCTCACAATCCAGCTAGCCCTGCTCACCTCAATGTAGAGTAGAAACACATATTTGGAAAAGGAAAGTCTTGTGTGCTCAGTGAAAGCATGCTTAAATAAAATAAACATAAGCCATCTAAGGATTTAGAAAAGCTTAAAGAATATCAACTGATCAATATTTAAAAGGGGTAAAGAAAGAGATTAAATAGTATTATATAATCTAGTGTCTCTTGTTTGAAGCTTTTGCCTCAAAAATTATTCCAGCTGTTTATTATAATTTATTATTATTCCATCAAACTGGCAAACTGTTTCCCTATGCACAAAGTAATTTCTCAGCTTACCTGCTTTATCAGGTCACAAATTCCTTTTTTAGTACCTTCTCTTCAGCTGTTGGGATCAGCAAGGCTGCCCTCAAAGGGTCCTTCTTGCTCCTGGGATGGTGGTGACTGACAGCACATTGTGACCTTCTGTACCACTCTGTACCACTCACAGTCTTCTTCCCTGTGCTTGTGTCACTGCAAGAGTGGGAGGGATTGTGAGAAGCACGAGAACTGTGGGTTTATTGCACTCAGTCCCACTCACTCACTCACTCACTCACTCACTCACTCACTCACTCACTCACTCCCTCACTCATTCCCTCACTCCCTCTCCACTTCCAGCTGGGTCACTAGCCTCTTCCTTCCAGTTGTGCAGATCTGAACTCAGTAAAGCAGCAGATGAAGAAGAAAACAATAATTTGTGCGCAAGGCCTGAGGCATAAGAGGAAATATTAATACAACCTTCCAAGGCATAAAGCCACCACGTTTAGGGTCAGTCCAACTCTTGCTACTAAGAGGAACTAGGGAAAAAAAAACAGAGAGGAACTTTGGTGCTTACAGGAAGGATATCTGACAGGAAAACAGCTTATTGAATAGGAGATTGGCTATAGAAACATTTGCATGACAGACAGCCTGGAGTGCCATTTTCCTTTTGATTCCTTTTCTTTCCTATGTGCACCTGGATAGAAAAATAATGTACAGCTAGTCATCTTTATGTCCCCAAGAGATGCTGTCAATTTATCTTTTAACCCAGTCATGAAACAGTCCTTCAGGAATACATTTTTATGTTCCCTTTTTCTGTATTTGCAAATTACCTTTGTATTTTACATGTCAAAAGCATACAAAGTTTTTAAATGATTTCAGGCTTACAAAAGGACAGATTGTTTAACTTCAAAACTTTTCCCTTTTCTTTGGAATAAAACTTCAACTTTGTGTCCTTTTCATTGTAGAAAGGTCAATCAGAAAGGCATTGTGGCGCTAAATATCAACACTATATAGTAAGAGGCAGTTTTTGTCCTTCTTTATCACCCTTCTAATATCAAGAGTCCTCAATGATTTTAGTGGAGTTTCTTAATAAATGAAAATTAATTTAGTGGGCAGGGAGTGTGAGCTATGCAGAGCCTGGCAGTGAGCAGTTATTTAAAGCTAAGTGCTGGTTTGAAGTCCAGAGGCCAGTCTGCCATTCATCCTAAACTGAGCTAATCAAGCAGAAACGCTTAATCAGCTTTAGCAAAAAAGTAATCAACAGTGACAAGGGAAATAAATGACTTTTTTTGTCTCAAAATAGTTGGTTAGTTCTTGACTATCTCAACAAGTAAATCTTTTGTTCATGTTATTCTGGATTTCACTGAGTTTTGTGATTTCTCTCTTCACTGAAACATTCTTGGCATGAAGTCAAATCCTGTCAGTATTGAGCAAGGTGGAGCACCATTAGCATTCAAAGGAGACAGCAGACAACTATGATGGAAAAAACTGGTAACATAACAGTACTTAAAGACTCTATCTCAATAAGTCACACAGGCTTTTTTTCCTACTTTTAATGATCTTAGGTTTTACTTCCCACAGTAATTCACAAACACATTTCTCTGTGACTCCAGACAATTTTCTGTAATTTTTTTCGAAAAAACAAATCTTTTTCATCATTTTGGATACAGTTTTTCCAGCATGAGAAAAAGATATTCATGTTATAAGATTGGTCCCTTCTAACTTTTCATGTACCTTTGCTTTTATCTTAATTGCCTGGTTACTGCCGTTTGAAAGAGTACTGGATATTCAGAACAAACAGTTTCATGTCTCAGCACACATCTTTGTTACCAAGTGGGATGGTGGCCTACCACTGTTATGATGAGCATAATTTGGAGATGAACATCACAGATGATCATGGAATCTGCACATGCAAATTAGGAATGAACAATGTGGTCTGTATATTAAAGTGTAGTGTAAAGCATTATGTATTGCTTTGAAAAGATGCTTTGGAAAGGACATCTGGAGCACAGAGTTCTTTGGGTACAAATATTAACAAAGAACAGCTTGGTATTTTAATCCAGAATCCCTAGTTCTGACAGGACTGAAGGTAGAATGATATAAAAATGTTAGTCAAAGCTGTGGCTTAACATGGAAGGGTGATAAGCATGATACAAATGCTTGCTTATGGGGGAGAACTGGGTTGGGGGGGGGAAAAAGTGTAAAACTATTCAGCATTATGTCATATGGTGTGGAATATCCCTATGGCCAGATGGGGTCAGCTGTCACAGTCATGTTTATTTTACAGATTCTTGGGCGCATCTAGGCTCCCTCCTGGCAGAGCAGAAGGAACTGAAAAGTCCCTGATTTAATGTAAGCACTGCTCAGCAACCACTGAAATATGACGGTGTTAGCAGTGTTATTCTCATACTAAATCCCAAATACTGTGCTATGTCAGTTACTAATAAGAAAATTAACTCTATCCTAGCTGAAACCAGGACACACACATAAGAATTATGGTGAGCAAGCACCTACAGAAGAATCTCAAATTATTTTAAAGAGAATGCCATACATACAATACTCCCTTGAAATTATATGCCAGATAATACGACACATTTATTGTAAATGCATCTTAGTTCACAATTTTTTTAGGTAAAAAAGCTTAATTTTGAAATAATTATTAATACCATTCTGCATATTCTTTTTATATGGTGAGTGATGCATGAAGAACTGAAAAGAAATTGAAAAAAGTGGTAGGCTCATAGGGATAAGTACTGTACTAAAGGGAAATTAATAAAGAGACTGAGAAACCAGCAGAGAAAGACAGCTTCAAGAACAACCTGATTTTCCATGCAAAATCCACACTATCATACAGTTTCAGAGAGAAGTTTGTCTAACCAGCCCCTGTACAGAAAGTCAAAATCACCTAAAATTATAAAGTGTCTCCCGCTATAAAATATAATTGATTCCTTGCAGAATGTACAAGGATCTCTTGCCATCCTTCTCTGTGGAGAACTTAAGAAATCATCATAAAGATGATTTCTCATAGACACATTTTATGCTTGGGACAGCATTGACCAAATATTTTATTGCTCTCCTTGTGACTATCTGCACTGTTCTTTCCTCAAAAAGTAGCACATTCTCCAGCAGCCCCTTTTTGAGGATAGGCCCTCAAAAATACCACTGTTATTTCCTCTAATTCTTTATAACCCCACCTGTAAAGTACCAAAAAAGTGTTTGTCTTTTTAAGGCTGTCATCATGTTATCATTTGGAATGTTTGGCTGCCTTTTAAACATTTTCTGATCAATGACTGAAATCACTAATGGCAATATCTGATTACCCTATATCTGGGAGAGATCACCAAAAGTACCCCAAGACATGACAATCACTGAGAAAATTACTGATTTCTAACTCATTATGTTTTAAGTAACTGCCAAGGATATACTCTATGTCTTGCTATGAAGTCAACACAAGTCAAATCTTGCTTCACCTTCTTCCTCAGTAAGCCAGCTGCTTTGACAAATAAGAAAATAATATTAAACTGACTATCAGATCTTAAAATTATCCCTGCTGGTTTCATTCTCTTGTTAATTTTTTAATTGGCTGATTGAATTTATTTAAGAGTTACACTCCAGGTTTTAAAAAATTACATTATCTTTCTTATCACATCTTTCCAAGGATCAGAGTTAGGTTGATCAGCCAATTCTTTTCTAGTTTATCTCTCCAAAAATACAAATGCCATGTCATGGTTTTCATTAAACTGATTAGGTAACTAATCTTAGTTACCTAATCAATGACAGAAAATAATAGATCTCCCACAGGAAGTGGTCTTCTTTTACCATTAATGAGCAGCAAAAAATGCTGGAGGATTGCAATTTTTGTTGATGGTAGGTATTTTACTGTTAATAGATATATTTATATGGTTACACAATCGAATTTTTTGTACATCTGAGTTATCATAGGCATTAAACCTTAGAAAGCATATTAAACTCTTAAAAAGAGGAAACAAGCTCATCATCATTTATGTTTAACTACACAAACATATAGGACAGTAAACAGAAGAAATGAGACTGATGAACCAAATTCTTCAGCATTCTGCTCAGCAAGTTACAGTGGACAAATCTCATGCCTTCTGCATAAGTGCCAGGGAAGAACCTTCACCTCTGATCCTGTGCTGCTCTGCTGCTTGCCTGCTTTGACTTTCATGCAGGCCCGCATGCGACCTGTCCTCTCCGGCACTCCCTGGGCCGGTGCAGCCTCTGCTGCAGCATCCAGCCAAGGGCATGGAGAACACCACAGCTGTCAGTGTGTTACATATCAGGGGAGTTGGTAAGGAAGTTCCTGGAAACAGTAAGCAAGTAGCAACCTAGCTCAAAACCTGGCCCTGTAATAAATCCAAGAAAAGCAGATTATGACAATAAAGAAACACATTTATTTAAGATGAAGATAACAAGTTCTCAATATATTGCTGTGTTCTAAATTTACATATGAGTTTAACAGTGAAGATTTATTGACAAATGAAAACACCTCTGTTCAGTGATAAAAAAAAAAATATGTCAAGAAGAAAGCCTCTCATTAACCTAAAAAAAAAGTGCAATTCTGAAAATATAATCCTCTAAAGTGAGATAAGAAGCAACCTAATGTAACTGTCCAAATCTAGTAAATACCTCTGCAAGGAGATACAAAGAGACAAAAGCACAGCTAAACCACAGGTCAAAGGAAGCACAAGTACTTTCATCTAACTGAGGGCAAAGACATATTATTGAGAGACAGACATAGTGAGAATAATTTAAATAAATTTGGACCACTTAAATAAAGAAAGGAGCAAGAATGCGTGGTAAGGTAGTCAATGACTGGGACAAGACAAAGTCATATATATCAAAAACCAAGTAAAAATAATTTATTTCTTCCAACTTGAAAGACATTTAGGACAAGAAGCCACAAGACAAACAAAAACAAAACAAGAAAAAAACAAAACCAAAACCCCCTAGACTTGTTAAGACTTAGGCAGGCTTTACAATGTGGCTAATGAAACATCCATCGGGTTAACATGCCAAAAAAAAAAAAAAAAAAAAAAAAAAAAGGCAGATTTGAACTCCTATTTTTGAAGGAAAATGATTACTCCAGTAATTACCAATTGAGTAATCTCTGACAATTTTTCCTGAAACACTAATAGTCACTACTATAATAAAAAAGACTAGACTGGATAAATCATTCATCTAGTCCAGAATGGAAATTGAATTCCACTGTAAGAGTAATATTATTTGTGTCCTGTTGTTTGTCGCATGCTACTCTGTATTTTTTCTAAACATCACCATTCTCGAGTATTTTTTCTGTTACTTCCTTTTTGTTTTTAATTACATTTGGTTTTGTAGTATCTTCCCCCCCCCAAAAAAAAAAAAAAAAAAAAAAAAAAAAAAAGCAACAGCTGATCAACTCTGTTAAGCCCAAGGCTGTGTTTTTGTCCACTGCATGCCTGCAAAGTTGAAATGTACTAAACCTGGCAGTTAAAAAAAACAGCAAAGAAAAAAAACCCAAAAAAACACCCACAAAGGTGGCAATATGGAAGCAGAAACACAATTGAAAGAAAACCTATATATGGGCTATATATTGTGGCAGCAGATGAATGAGAATTCTTCTTTCTGGTTATAGAAAACTTAAAACTGTTACGTATCTGTATTTTTTTTTTCTGACTTGTCAATGTTTTTTTTTTCTCAGATAAAAATGAAGAGAAAACTGAAAACAAAAATTCAAAACAAGCTTTGTCATTTACCCCAGATGTTCCTTCACATTGATTCATCTGATTGCTCTGTCACCCACACTGTCCTGGAGGAGGAATGCTTCGACCACTAGACTTTGTGGGTTAGGTAACCCTTGATATTCCTTTTGGAAGGTGTTTCTCTGTGTCAACTTATACTTCCTTTGCAAGGTGGGTCAGGATGGGGAGTTTTCAGCACCTCTGATATGTATCTTATCTGCACTGGCCACAATGTTGATCTCCAGTAAATGTTTGCCTGTGGCAAGTGGGTTGGGACCAAATGATCTTTAAGGTTCCTTCCAACTCAAATGATGCTATGATTTTATGAAATTCAAAAGTACATGGAAAATTACAAATTTTTATGTATGTATTTAACTGCAGAGGTCAAATGTGAAAGTATGGTTTCATTGCCCATGATTAATACTAAAACTGTCTATCATTCATCCATTCTGGTTGTAGTCAGTGCTTTGTGAAAAGGAGCTGCAATCCCAGTCTCCTTGTCTGCTGCTTCCTGCTGGCCCTTGTCAAAAAAAGCATAGGCCAGGACAGACTGATTTCCTTAGGTCCAAGGCTGTTACTATCTATCTATAGGTTCTTGTTCATATGCTCTTATAGGTTACCAAAATACAGATTCTGGCCAAGCCCACCATCTATCACTCCCTTATTTTTCCACTAGAAAGGTTTTTTTACCCCCTAAAGTGAATGGTACTTGATGTAGATTTCCATAGATGTAATCCCTTTGCAGTGCAGTAAAGAGGGCAGCAAAAGGAAAGAGAACACATTTGTAGCCAGTCCCTTCCCCCTGAGCTTTATTGGAAGGACACAAAAAGCACAAGAAAGACAGTGTCAGAAAACTGTCAGGAGGTGGGGCAGAGTAGGAGCCTGAAATGTTCTGACTTCTGCACAAACTGCCAGCTCAATCCCACCAGTACTGGATGAGTGGAGAGACCAGGCCAGAAAGCTCAGCTGTTTTAAAGCCCAGTCATACTCCCTGCTGAGGCACTGCTGCCTGGAAGCACTGTGCCGAGAAGGATGCCAACCAGGCAGGATTTTTTCACATTCATTTAACAAACACTTTTTGTGTTACTTGCAATTCTGCTGCTCAGAGGTTAATCAAGGAAACCAGAGCAGACCATGCTACCAGCATCACTCCATCACCTTCCCCTCCCCACCTTCAAGCCGCATGTCACCAGGTATCATATCCTGATGTATTTTGTTTTCCCAATGGCGATTTGATAACTGATACAAGATGAAACCTCTCGTAACTGCTCTGTAGATACTAAATTGCTTTATTGAAGAAACAGCATTATGCATAAATTTTTTTCGGGGAAAAAAAAAATTTAGGAGGGCAGGGATAACTTTTTACTGAAAAGGCAAGTAGCTCATACCTGCTGTGACATCAGACTGAAATCCCTGCTTCTCTTCAGCTGATGACTGCATTCAAGATAGACAGCAGTGCAAGAAAAGTATCTCTGAATATCAGTCAAAGTTTATCACCTGAAAGAAGCCTTTGGACTTGAAGCCAAGAAAATGAACATAAAATTAATAGCTATTTTCTTTTCAGTAGGTGAACAGAAAACACAGATGAAGGATTTTCAATGAGGGTCTAAGGCATTACACTGATACACCTTTTCAGCTGGAGAAATACTTCCATATGGCTTTAGTTATATGCCATGGGAATAAAATAAAAGCACTTGAACACTGCAAGAGCATCAACCAAGAAAAGCATTCAGATTGTATCAGCCATTTCACCCAGGAGCAGCCAGATTTCCTCCACCACCATTTTACGACTTGCCTTTGCTGACTCCTGTAGTTGTGACTTTGGTTTCACTGAGTTACTAGAACCTATTAACAGCAATTTCCATGCTTTGACTTAGGTGTATACTGCCAGTCCAACCCAGATTCTAGAATCATGTCTAGTCTAACCTATTCAGTCAACATGTTTATACAGAATCATGGAATTGTTTGGGTTATAAAGGACCTTAAAGATCACCTAGTTCAAACCCTCCACCATTGATTGAACTGTAGATTTTCTCTGCTGCTCCTAGAATTAAGGACATTCCTGTCAGGATTCCATCATAAATTTGGGACTACCAAATATGCCATTTGATTAATGAAATAGCTACCAGGAAATTATTACCTTTCCTTATAACCCATGTTAGATGTTTCTAGTTTGTGTTAGGGTCTCGCATCAACCAGAAACATCTCAGTCCTGGCTCTTTTACTATTCCTTCACTGAAGGTACTTGTTTATACTTTCAAATATATCTGACCCACCCCCCTTCAAAAAAAATTTTGTGAAATTGTTTTGCTTTTAAAAAATTAAAAAAAAAATCTGCAGCAATACATCCTGAATTTGTCATTGTTTTAATTACCCTGAACAATCTTATATTAGCTGATCCAGTGCTGGAAAACAAAGTAAAGGTGAAGTTACTTATAAAAAAAAAGGTGAAGAAAAGAATTTTTCAAAAGGGATTTACAGCTGTAAAAATAGAAGGCATTTCTACCACCAGTGAGGCATAAAAAATGTATTTTTCTCCTTTTTCTACAGCAGATATTATTCTTGTGCCCCTGAGCAGTTATTTTGCTAGAAGAAGGACATTCAAGAATATAATCCCGTGCTTACACTCCTCCACCATGTCAAGTTATTATGGATCTTGCAAAGAGTCTAAGTCACTTGATGCAACTCTATTTCTAATCTGAGTGTGATTTTAGCAGAAAGAAATATAACTAAACATAATATTAATAAATAGATCTTCGGTATCTCAAGGTCACCCTAATAAATGATCAGTGCACTATGAAAACCTGTTTCCTTCAGGTGAATACCAACAGTCAGTTTAGTTAATAAAGTTCAGTTGCAAGCTAAACAATTACAGGCATAATAAAATAGAGTCATATAATGATTTGGGTCTTAGGGGACCTTTAAGGTCATCTAATGCCAAGCCCCCATGCCATGGGCAGGGAGGTCAGTCAATGAAATTTCGTGTCGGAGTTCAGGATTCATCGTGCATTTTTTTGTGTTGAGCAGTGAGGAGTTCTGTATGTACAAATATCCAGATTTCTCTTTAAGGAGGTCAACACTAATCGCATTTCGTCCGTACAACTATACCTAACATAGATTGTGACCTTCTAAATATTTCTAATAGTCTCCCCAGCAGTGTCAGTCACTTCAGAATAGATTAGGGTAACTCTGCCTGCTATTTACTTGATTCTCACTGGACTAGTTAAGCTGATCAGTGAAACTTTAATCCATTCATGGATATGCCAGTTATATTTCTATTCCCATTAGGAAGGAGATGTACACTTCAGAAATTTTCCAAGTACAAAACAATCCTAAACCAGGGAAGTATAGGTCCCTTATCAACTTAAAGCAAGCATAATAATTAAAAATGGATAAAGAGCTTAGAACTGAATTTTAAATTAGCTCTGATAATGCATACACTTATTAAGGTTTTAAATAGGGTTTTTTTATTATTATTGTGTAACTTTTTGAAGGTCAATATGCAATCTGTTTTCGGAACATTTGAAAAATGTAAAAAAATTATTTTCTCTCTAAAATAATAACATAATCAGACAATGAAACAATTGTTATCATGAATATCATGGCAGTCCCAATCAATTGAAGTTGACATCAGTTTTACTCACAGATCACTTTAGCGTCTATCTTCATAACTTATTTTTTCAGAAAACATGAGAAAAGACCTTTTAGGTTTGTTTCCCAGTCACTCCAATAGCAGCCATCTCATGCAGGGGTGTTGAGGATCACAATCACAGGGTAAATCTCGTTTTATCTCACAGAGTTCTGCTGAAGAAGATAAGATAAGAGTCATACATAAGAATTATGGTGGGATTACAGAATCAAAGTCGATTCAACTGAAAGGACACTATGTGGAAAGGGGAAAAGGATCACTTGCTTTTAGCAGATAAGCTTTTCTTATTGCTCAGCTGAAGATACATGGACTACAGAAGATTTCAACACTTCAGCTATGATGCCCACAGCTGTCACATGTGGCTCTTTACAACACATTATCAGTGTTGCAACACGTTATCAGTGTTCATTTCAGTACTTTGCCTCACTTTCTCAATTTGTCTCTCAGATCTAAACCAGATGTAAATTAGCATTAAAATCCAGAGCCACTAAGAATCAAGGAAAGAACTCCAAGTTTAATGGACTACATGCCTGTAAGGCATACTTTATTTTGTTCACATTATTCTTATCCCCCATTTTGGAGTTCAGGAGGATACACAAAACCTCATATCGTGTTGTGGTTAAGTGAAGTTTTATCAATATGTGAAAAACCATAAGTTTCCTATGCCCTCACACTGGATACTTGTAGGCACCAGTTTTGATCAGCAAAAACTCAAACTTTAGCATAGGTAGAATTTAAATGTCCTTTATATTTTAAGAGCATCTGAATTAGGAAGTCAGGACATATCTAGTCCCACTCTTTCTTTCAATGGTGTTTATGATCTCCTCCTGTCTAAAAGCAGATGTTGTCAACAACAGTTGTATCAAAGACCTTTTTGAGTATAATATTTACAAGCTATTTCCTTTTTTGTTTTGTGAGCAGCTTCTTTTGTAGATACTAATTACTTCAGGCCTCTGCCAACATATGTCCTAGCACAGCCTCTTTCATCAGAAATGTCAAAAATTAAATTCAAATGAAGGATGACATTTCTGTTGGTGTAGTTCTTGTTTTTATCCTCTAAAAACTTCAGCTAAGGAAAACCACAATATTTAAAGAAAAAAATGTTCACTTTTTTCATAAAATTGCTAGATGACCAAATTATCTCTGTGGTGCAAAAAATCCTAAAACAATTCTTATATGATGAAAATTATCAGAAACTCTGGCTTTACTTGCCAGGTGCCAAGAGAGCACAACCAGAAAAATAATATAATATATCTTGCACTTTTGCCTTTTTTTTTTCCTGACTACATGCTTGGGCAGAATGCATTTGAAAGCACTTCTGCTTGTCCTAGGTGATGTTGACTGCTTTAGACTAAATACTCTCGTTGGCAATTTTCCACAGACGTGCCAGGAAGCAGTAAGGGCAGGTTGTTCTGCCAGGCAAAGTGAACCAGTGCAGACATCCCTGGGGTGGTAGAGGCAACAGGCCACTGAGGACCAGTGTGGGGCTGGGATACTGACAGGGGTGACTGAGGGTCTTGTGTCCGCCACACCCACCCTGGCCATCCAGGGTAAATACAGGGTAAATACAGGTAGCCAAGTCAGCCAGAGTCCAGGCAGCATGAGGCTGGACACAGCATCCCTGTGACGCAACTCGGGCCCCAAAACCAAGGGCAAGGGCTGTGCTCAGAAGTAAATCCTGAGGGAGCAAAAGGTGAGGTGCCTGGGCAATGCTTCTCAAAGCTGCACAATTGTTGTGTGAGATGGATCCTTCACCAGGTGCTGAACCTCCAGCAGCAGGGAGAAGCTGCTGATACACCCATGTCTGGCATGACAGTTAGGGAGAAGAAGCCACCAGGATTACTTTTGGAGGGTAGAATAAAATTATGAGAATAAAGGTGATTGTTCGCAGACTTGCGTTTTCTATATATGAAGCAACTCCATGGAAAACATTTTAGTGATCTTCAAGTTGGAGACCACTGATAAGCATTAATCTCATGAGAGTTTTCTATTGAATACTTTCTCTTCTGGTCTTCTCCATGGGCCTGTTATAGCCATACAAAGTTCTTTAAAGTTTCTCTGAATTGAAAAAATCTAAGCAAAACATCCCAAAGCCCCAAAAAACCCAAAAAGCAAACTTCAAATTTAAACTATAGGTAAGTTTGGTGTGCAACAGCTTAAATAGTCCTGGAAGAAATAATCTTGAAATCAGTTCAAATTAATATTCCTTTTCTTTGTCTGTTTTTCTCCTCTGGGAAGTCCTCATGTTGCTAGTGTTTAAGAGAAAAAGCACAAAAAATACAAGAGCCATTCAAAGTGTTAAAAATTATAAGAAAAACTTCTGCTTGAAGTGGCAAAGTAGGACCTATGACAAGAGGACTGAAACACATACTTTTATTGTAATGCCTTAGATTAATGGAGTAGTAGAACTAGGACTCTGATGAGCTGGAGGCAGCTGTGGAATTAATATTCCTATTGGATTTGTCAGAGGAGAAAAATGATTGATCAGACAAAATTACTGTATGTGAGCCCTGCTAAAACTGAAGAATTACATAGCTACAAATTAATATCCTGAATATCATTGCCATTTGACATACTCCATCAACCAGTTTTCTGGATTTAATTAGTCCCTGGATGGTTAGGCATAATTTAAACATCACTTGGCTTATTTTTATAACACACACTGTATTTTTTCTTTTGTGTATTATCTTAATATTTTTAGCCTTGTCTTGGCATCTGCATAATACACAACAATAGAATTGACATTAAGTTTTCACTGACTCTCAGCAGGACTCAGAACTCATCCCAGAAGTCATTTTCTAGTTGAACAGTGACCAAACGCAAAATAAAGAAGCTCAAAAGTTCTGCTTTACAAGCCTTGGGCACTCTGTAACTACAACTGAAAGAATAGTTCTCAGTCATTTTCTAGGATAATCATGAAACGCATTGCATATGTGCAACTGAATAGAGGTAGAAGAATCTGAATCAAAATTCAAATTTTAATAACAAATCATATAACATGTTTTTAAATCTTCTTGAACTATCATATAGTTGTTATAATGATAGTTCAAGAATATTTAAAAATATGTATTTAGATTAATCAAAAAGGTCATATATCTTATTTAAGATCCTGAGGTATATGTGAAGTGGACAATTAGTGCCCAGGATCCATTTTTTTAAGGAATTTTCTTGTCACTGTTATAATATTTTATAATAAGAAAATATATAATTATTATATGTAATAATAAAAAAAGACCTTATTCACTTTTATGTACTTGGTGTCAAAAAAGCATATATTCCCTATATTAATTTTTACTGACATATATGTGACATAGCAGAATTTTGTAGATTAGCATTTTTATTCATTTTCTATTGCCATTGATTTTTTCTTTGTTCAGTCGATATTAATAAATTCCACTGCTAATTGATTTTGATGGTTTCCTGCTCTTAGAAGATAGCGATCAGTAGAGTGGAACTTCAGTGAGCAGCAACACCATATTGTAGTCAGAAGAGCAGTAGAGCAGTAAGTGATGGTATAGTTTTTTAAAGACCATTTGACTGTAATATTCCTTTCATAGTTGTATTAAACTATATTATCTGTGTAATGGATCATATTTGTTCATCCACCTTTCAGCATGTTTACAAGCCAAGCATCCAATATTGCAAGCACTGAAATATACAAATGCATAATACTAAGACTTTGCATTAATAGGATTATATTTTAAAAATGCCTTATATGCCTGAAATAAAAGAGCAGGATATAAATGGGCCTTAGGCCACAAAGTAGAACAGTAGTGCTGGGCAGCACTGCCTGAGCAGGGCTCCCAATAGCATATTCCCTCATTGCAAGGGATAGGCAGAGTGCTCCTCCACCACCTGGTTCATGTCTTGCCATGCAGGCAAGTGGAAGTGGTTGACCCACAACACCTGGTACACCATCACCACTGGCAGCACAGCCTACAGCCCCCAAACACAGCCTCATAACCTGCTCTTTTCACAGATCCTTGAGAACTACCAAAAGAGGAGTATCCTGTGAAAGGTCCAGGAGAGCATTTATGAACCTACAGGAGAGGAACTGCACACCTGAGGGGGTTTTGTGGGCACTGTGTGCTCTCAGGCAGCTCTGGAACAGCCTGTCCTGGGCTTTGCAGCTGGCTGATTCTCTTCAAGGCATGAAGCATTAGGCATACAAGCAACTAAACAACCAACCTCACCCCAAAACCCTATTTATGTTTCTAATGTATTATTCCAAATATTTTGCCTACAAGTAGTATTCAGGATCTTAGATATATTTTGTCCTGCTGCTGGAGAATTATTTTTTCATGTAGACTTTCAGTTTGACCAGCATTCATTTCCCACCTCTCTTCTCTCTTTCCTCCTTTGGTCTTTTGAGCTCCATCTCCATACATTTGCCTCAGGGAGTTTTGCAGCTGCAGCATATCAATAACCTTATAGAATATGCTGCATGACTGATTCACAGCTATTGCTGAAAATCAAGAACAAAAACTGAACTGGCTGATAAAAGTAAATGCAATTTTCCATTCCTAATTTACAAGCAAGCCAACCAAATGGCTCATTATCCAAAAAAAGAAGTATTTAAATTAACTGGCAACACCTAAAATAGAAATAAATAGCATATACTGACCTGCTTAGAACAAAAATAGGACAGAAAATAGTTGGTAGTTCATCACTATATGCACAGTCTGAACTTTGGAACTTACTACTTTCATTCCTAAAATAAAACATACCTCAAATCCAAAATATAAATGATGGACCAAATATTATGTTATTGACATCAATAATATTTTTTCTATACAAAGATCCCTGAACACCCTGAACCCAAGCTATAGCATCTGTATTTCACTCATGCTATTAAAATAATAATTAATTCAGTGGGTATTGAAGAACTCTGATCAGAAGATCTGAAACTGTAATTAGTAAGACATCAAACAAACCTTTCAAAGAGGTTGTTTATGCTCCCTGTTTTCATTTGCCTTGTTTCAGACTATCAAAAGCCTTTTCTTCTTTTCCTCTCTCTGTTTCACTTAAAACCAGTAAGTTTTAAATTTTAACCTGTAAAGAGAAACAACAAAACCTGGAGATGTAAACTTCTGTAACAGATTTTTTTTTTCTGCAGTGGCAGACAGGTACTACATTATATTTCATAATGAAACATTATCACAATCCAAGAAAACAGTAATTTCAGTTTTAATGCCTGTCACCCCTACAAGCCTCGGACTATGAATGTACACTCTCAGAATTTACAGTTTCAAAACTGTAAGACAGGAAATTTTGGAACTTCTCATGAGTTATATTTATTACATTTTGCTGTGTATGAACTCCTGAGGGTGCTTTCTGAAATATTTTAATTATAGTACGGAATAAAGGTTGCTGTTAAAGGAAGAGATACAGTCGTTTTTATAACAAAGTTAAAAAAAAAATATGCAATCCACTGCATATTTCTCCTAGTGCATAAAAGACGTCTGAGATTAACTCTACCACCACTATGAATTCTTGCTTGACTCTTGTATCTTTTGAATTAAATATGTCATGATACATATTCCTGTATCTCTGTCCAGTAAGCATTTTCTGTTATCAAGTAATTCCTAATGTCTTCACAAAATTGTAAAGTTACTAAAGAATTATGAGACTAGCATTTCACTAATTCTGGAAAGCTTTTGGAAAACTAAAAAGATTTAGGATTCAATTTGCCTTTACTATATTTCCATCTCTGTACCAAAAGTGAAAGATATTTAAGGAAAAATGTCATGACAACACTGTTATTTTGTAGGACTGAGGCCCATAATATCTTGCAAATTGGTAGTAATACTAACAGTTTTATCCAGTGTTTGCAGTGTGCATTTTACTTGAAATACCTCAAGTAGCATCAAGCTAATCAAACCTCAGATCTCTCCCACCAACTAGAAAATTTTAATCATCAATTACTTGGAATTTTGATGCAAGAGTGTATATTAGTCTGATGGAACTCATTCATCCTTTATCAGAATTGTGCTGAATTATATCAGCTTAATTTCAGCCTATCATTAAATCAGTTCTATTTATTGTTGATTTTTATTTGTTACAGATAAACTGTGCATTTACCTCAGTAAGACATCTATGATGGTTGTTGTGTTTATCTTCTAGATGCCTCAAAGGAAGCACCAGTGACCACTGATTCTTTTGGTATAGTTTCTGCCCTAAGACTCCAGCAGTTGCTTTTAGACCTATAGGTTCTTTAAAAAAAGCTGTTCAAAGTCTCTGCATCTGTGCCTGAAGCAAACTAAACATATTTTCTTTAGAATTTGCTTCTGCCTGACTGCCCACACAGTGAACAGAAGACCATTTCGTTAAAAGAATCAATGCTTCTAAAGAACTTCTCTTTCAAAAGCCTATCACAGGAAAATAAAATTTACCTATTTATATATAAGAATACGTAGTTAGATGAATATTTGTTCTGCCATCAGAAAAAGACTAGGCCTGGTTAGGGATGGTTTGCACAGATGTTTCAAGGGGTACTTCACACTCATGCAACTGAGCTAAGTAGTATTAGTGTATGTGTAAGACACTAATGATATTAACAATTACCCAAAAGCTTGCATTCTTCATTAATATATTACAGTTAATGTTATCCTCAGAACAGTATTAATTAGTGGAGAGAAAGTATAAGAAAGCTATTAATTAATTTGATGGAGACACAACACTTTTTTAATCCTTCTCTGGAGAGGAAGTAAGAAGGTAAGTAGTATGGTTTATGATTAATAGACTTTTTCCCATCCCATAGTGCACAAGTTCAGCTTGTGAACACAACAGCACATAAAAAACACATTTAACTTTGCTATGACATGAACTGATTAAATCCTACTTTCCAGAATTCCTTAGCACGAAAAATAGACAGAATCAAAGCTGCATTTTCTGGAAATTCAGTTTCTTGAGTAGTTTGGTATTTATGATTTCTACCTAGATAAAGTTTTCTCAGCCTTGTATAATCAAAAAAATCACAAAGAAATCATAATTGGTTGAGAATATATAAAACCAGTACACATGATCAAATTAGTTTTGATTTGTTTTGCTGAAAAATAGTGAGTCTTTGGGCTGAACATGTGAGAGACAGCCTGAAGTTTCCTTTATTTGCCTCATGACAGCTGCAAGGACCCTGAAGAGCCCTGACAGGAGTTCTGTCCTTGCTGAGGTGGATGTGGATGCTTTCCAAGTGACTGTTTACAGGTGCACTTGCTGTGCTTCCCCAGAACTCTGCATTCAAACAGGATCTGAAAAGTGGTGGCATGTCCCTGCATGCCTGCACCTGCTTCACAGACCAAGGGGCTCTACACAATGGCCCATCAATCTTCCCCACCATCTGGTCAGATGCCATTCACTTTGGCTAAAGGCTATGTAAACTGTAACTTTTTGGGAAGACTTTGGTGCACCCCCACAGATGATGACGAATCTGTGTGGCTGGCCCATTGAGGATCTTGTCTGGGTGGGGTAGCTATATTCCCCTTTTCCTCTTTTCTCTCTATTCTTTATTTCCTTTTTCTGTCCCCTCTATCACATTTGCTGTTGGTACCAAAGCAAAGGTGCATTTGTTGTGATTAAACTGACGGTCCCCTGCTGTTTGCCTTTTTGCACTTTAGGGATCGGTTAACGAACCATCACGACACCCCGCTTCTCTAAGCTGATTGTGACAGAACAGCAGAAGACTACGTTGTAGGTCTGTTTTAAGTAGTCCCCCAGGTGACCAGAAATTTATAATGTATTGGAAAACTGGGCTGAGTTTAGAAATTTATCAATGCCAGTTAATATAATCTACAGTTTTGTACACTGTTTTAAAGGATATTGGAGGCATTTGTGATTGTACAAGCATTGCTGGAAGAGGGAGAATACAGGTACTTGGAGGAGCTGTCTGCATTGCTATGAATATAACAATCCCCACAAAAAAAAATTACCTTAGAGTAACTTTTTGTTTTGTTTCTTCCTAGACATCACTATGTCCACTGCCATTATCAGACTTAAGACACCAGCATAGAACAGGACAGTCACAGAATATTTTCCCAGGAACTATTAAAGAATATAAACATGTGCAGCTTTATAAAGAGATTTGAAATCCAATGCCATTTAAAGACAACATTTTTTAGGCTATTTGAGGAAACATAATGTCTATGGATTCAGAAGTAACCATTGACAGAAAGAAGGTGGCTTCTTGTTACTGATCCTCTTCAGTTTTGTTCTTTATTTTTCTCTTCTTTTTTTTTTCTTTTCACTGATATATGTGGCCAACTTAAATGAAAATTATTCATCTCTTTGTGAAATTGTACAAAAAAACCCAGAATGTATTGGTAAATTGTACCACAAAATACCAAAAATACAATTGTAAGCAAAAGGTCTCTCTGGCATTGCCACTGAATGAAAGCCACTTGATTGTTGGTTA